AGGAAGTTTCATAGCTGCAAAAAACCCTCCAGTGTCATCAGGTCGATTCTGAGTCACTTGATCTTATAATTCCGCGGGGTTTTTCATTGCTACAAATAAGTAAAAGGCCAAAATTTCAGGAGTTAATTTTTAGATGCTAATCTTGTTACTACAGAAACTTATACATTAAAAAAAGGTTCATATATGTAAAATCTCCACATCTGGGAGGCATTTTTCTTCTTGCAGGATGACACACATTCCTACAATTAGCAACATGAAATAAGGCATCAGGCACTAACATTTTGTTGTTTTGAGCACCTTCAAAGGTTGTTTTTTTTTAATTGTTAACTAGCCTATTTTGAGCTTGCTTTTGGAAATCTCAATGCTTACAGGTTAACTGCTTGAAATAAACGGTGTTTCATTGCTTTTGATAATTTTTAACATTCGTGAGCAGTAATGAGTAATTTAGCAGATAAAAGAGAAACACAATTTAATTAAAACCCCGCAGATTGTGCTGAGTGTGTAGCAAGTACAGAATATTTTGTACATTGGGAGAATGGGAAAGATTAATTTCGATTGAAGTGCCCGGGAATGCTCTGTTCAGTAGGTAGATTTCATCAGGGTTTTGATGCGGGGCGGGTGAGTGGGGGGCTGAGGAAAGAGGGTCGGAGATGGAAATGCTATTATGAATTAAAGCTGAGATGTTTTGTTAGCAGAGCGTTATTGGAGGCTGTGTGAGCGTGGGAAGGGTGAATGGGTCCGGGGAGGCAGGAAGAAAGCAGGTTGAGCCCCACATTTTGAGATTTCGATGTGACCTGTCAAGTTTAAGACTTGTTTTGTGGCTTTCAAACGTTTCAACCACTTTCACTATGGGTGGATGGGAGGGTTGGCTGAGGTCGGCAAAGCAGCGGGTCCAGAGATGGCACTTGGCCTGCTAGTGGGAAAGGGAGACAGTGGGGGAAGAGGGCAGAGTCCCCCAGGGAGGGAAGGAAGACTTGGAGGCTAGTGGCCGCCAGCAGGTTGGGAAGGCGTGTTCGGAAGGAGGCGGGACGCCTT